TGATGAGAAAAACTCACTTGGCCCTATGGGCCAGGTGAGCTAAAAAGAAGATGTGGTATGATTGCCAATGTAACAACTATCCACCAGAGACCAACCAACTTGAATGTAAGTCACATAAGGTTAATATAAAAAGAGATGATGTGGTATAATTGCAAATGTAACAACTATCCACCAGAGACCAACCAACTTGAATGTAAGTCACATAAGGTTAATATAAAAAGAGATGATGTGGTATGATTGCCAATGTAACAACTATCCACCAGAGACCAACCAACCTGAATGTAAGTCACATAAGGTTTATATAAAAAGAAAATGTGGTATGATTGCCAATGTAACAACTATCCACCAGAGACCAACCAACTTGAATGTAAGTCTCATAAGGTTTAACATGTAATTAATTAATGTTCACTTGAAAGCAAATTTTTTTTCTATTTTTAAGCAAATCTTGAAGGTTACTAATTTATAAACCTTGAACAAGAATTTGTTTCCATAGGACACCTTGCCCCTCTCACAAATTATCCTAAGTCCATGATATATATATGAACTGTGAGCTAAATGGCAGAGAGAGTCTTTAGAAAAGACTACAGATGTTATAAATGCTGCAACTGAGAAATATTGCGACATCGACATAAATACCTGTCAAAAAGGACATCAAAACCTGTATAATAAGAATTGATATAACAAGATATCATTGAGATGGGAGCCATCTCTGTGGGCCTGCTGTGAATAATGTGTGGTAAAAAATTTGTATCTTTACCATAGGATATGGGGTTGTCAACCTAGACCAAAAATTTTGACCTTGACCTTTGACCTAGGAAGTTGTACATACATTATGACACACCCTCTGGTGTTTGTTAATATACATGTCAAGTATAAACTTTGAAATCATAACGGTTCTCTAGATATAGAGCTGACTCGATCTTAATCATAGGACATTGGGTTGTCAACTGAAACCAAAGTGTTTGACCTTGCCCTTTTGACCTAGGAAGTTATACATACATTATGACAAACCCTCTGGTGTTGGTTAATATATATGTCAAGTATAAACTTTGAAATCATAACGGTTCTCTAGATATAGAGTGGACACGATTTGTTATGGACAGACGGACGGACATACTGATCACTATAGGGCGTCCACCATTCGGCCGGGCCCTAATTACCTGTCACAAAGGACCTTTGACCTAGGAAGTTGTACATACATTATGACACACCCTCTGGTGTTGGTTAATATACATGTCCAGTATAAACTTTGAAATCATAACGGTTCTCTAGATATAGAGCGGCACGATCTTTATGATAGGACATGGGGTTGTTAACTGAAACAAAGTGTTTGACCTTGCCCTTTGACCTAGGAAGTTATATATGCATTATGACAAACCCTCTGGTGTTGGTTAATATACATGTCAAGTATAAACTTAGAAATCATAACGGTTCTCTAGATATAGAGCGGATACGATCTTTACCATAGGACATGTAGTTGTCAACTGAAACCAAAGATTTTGACCTTGACCTCTGACCTAGGAAGTTGTACATACATTATGACACATCCTCTGGTGTTGGTTAATATATATGTCAAGTATAAACTTTGAAATCATAACGGTTCTCTAGATATAGAGTGGACATGATTTGTTATGGACAGACGGACGTACTGATCACTATAGGGCGTCTACCATTCGGCGGGGCCCTTATTACCTGTCACAAAGGACCTTTTACCTAGGAAGTTGTACATACATTATGACACACCCTCTGGTGTTGGTTAATATACATGTCAAGTATAAACTTTGAAATCATAACGGTTCTCTAGATATAGAGCGGACACGATCTTTATGATAGGACATGGGGTTGTTAACTGAAACCAAAGTGTTTGACCTTGCCCTTTGACCTAGGAAGTTATACATGCATTATGACAAACCCTCTGGTGTTGGTTAATATACATGTCAAGTATAAACTTAGAAATCATAACGGTTCTCTAGATATAGAGCGAATACGATCTTTACCATAGGACATGAAGTTGTCAACTGAAACCAAAGATTTTGACCTTGACCTCTGACCTAGGAAGTTGAACATACATTATGACACACCCTCTGGTGTTGGTTAATATATATTTCAAGTATAAACTTTGAAATCAAAACGGTTCTCTAGATATAGAGCGGACACGATGTGTTATGGACAGACGGACGGACATACTGATCACTATAGGGCGTCCACCATTCGGCCGGGCCCTAATTACCTGTCACAAAGGACCTTTGACCTAGGAAGTTGTACATACATTATGACACACCCTCTGGTGTTGGTTAATATACATGTCCAGTATAAACTTTGAAATCATAACGGTTCTCTAGATATAGAGCGGCACGATCTTTATGATAGGACATGGGGTTGTTAACTGAAACAAAGTGTTTGACCTTGCCCTTTGACCTAGGAAGTTATATATGCATTATGACAAACCCTCTGGTGTTGGTTAATATACATGTCAAGTATAAACTTAGAAATCATAACGGTTCTCTAGATATAGAGCGGATACGATCTTTACCATAGGACATGTAGTTGTCAACTGAAACCAAAGATTTTGACCTTGACCTCTGACCTAGGAAGTTGTACATACATTATGACACATCCTCTGGTGTTGGTTAATATATATGTCAAGTATAAACTTTGAAATCATAACGGTTCTCTAGATATAGAGTGGACATGATTTGTTATGGACAGACGGACGTACTGATCACTATAGGGCGTCTACCATTCGGCGGGGCCCTTATTACCTGTCACAAAGGACCTTTTACCTGGGAAGTTGTACATACATTATGACACACCCTCTGGTGTTGGTTAATATACATGTCAAGTATAAACTTTGAAATCATAACGGTTCTCTAGATATAGAGCGGACACGATCTTTATGATAGGACATGGGGTTGTTAACTGAAACCAAAGTGTTTGACCTTGCCCTTTGACCTAGGAAGTTATACATGCATTATGACAAACCCTCTGGTGTTGGTTAATATACATGTCAAGTATAAACTTAGAAATCATAACGGTTCTCTAGATATAGAGCGGATACGATCTTTACCATAGGACATGAAGTTGTCAACTGAAACCAAAGATTTTGACCTTGACCTCTGACCTAGGAAGTTGAACATACATTATGACACACCCTCTGGTGTTGGTTAATATATATTTCAAGTATAAACTTTGAAATCAAAACGGTTCTCTAGATATAGAGCGGACACGATGTGTTATGGACAACCAGACGGACATATTGATCACTATTGGGCATCCACCATTCGGCGGGGCCCTAATAACCTGTCACAAAGAACCTCATAAACTCCATAATATTTATTGATATAGATACCTGTCACAAAGAACCTTTTAACCTCCATAACCAGTCTTGACATAAAAACTTGTCACAAACTTTTAGGATTTCATTACCATCATAATATGAATTGACATAAATACCCGTCACAAAGGATCTCATAACCTCCATAATAAGTATTGATATAGATACCTGTCACAAAGGATCTCTTAACCTCCATAATAAGTATTGATATAGATACCTGTGTCAAAGGATCTCATAACCTCCATAATAAGTATTGATATAGATACCTGTCACAAAGGATCTCATAACCTCCATAATAAGTATTGATATAGATACCTGTCACAAAGGATCTCATAACCTCCATAATTAAAGAACCTTAGTGAGCGCGCTCACATACCCCACGTCCCCACATAGTCACTGGAGAAATAAAATAACTGTAAGAAAAAAAATTGTATAAGAAAAAAAATTGAATCATAATTTCCTGTCGATATGCACATCTACATAGTATACATACATGTCCTTATTATCTACAAAGATTCATGAAATTCTGTTGTGTGGTTTCAGTAGAGTTGCGATGACAAACTGTTGCAGAGGTTTATTGAAGCAAATAAGTTCAAAGGGGCGTAACTCCTAGAAAAAAAATTGAATCGTAATTTCCTGTCGATATGCACATCTACATAGTATGTCCTTATTATCTAAAAAGGTTTCATGAAATTCTGTTGTGTGGTTTCAGAGGAGTTGCGATGACAAACTGTTGCAGAGGTTTATTGAAGCAAATAAGTTCAAAGGGGCGTAACTCCTAGAAAAAAAATTTAATCATAATTTCCTGTCGATTTGCACATCTACATAGTATGTCCTTATTATCTACAAAGTTTCATGAAATTCTGTTGTATGGTTTCAGTGGAGTTGCGATGACAAACTGTTGCAGTAGTACATTAAAGCAAATAAGTTCAAAGGGGCGTAACTCATAGAAAAAAAATTGAATCGTAATTTCCTGTTGATATGCACATCTACATAGTATGTCCTTATTATCTACAAAGTTTCATGAAATTCTGTTGTGTGGTGTCAGAGGAGTTGCGATGACAAACTGTTGCAGAGGTTTATTGAAGCAAATAAGTTCAAAGGGGCGTAACTCCTAGAAAAATAATTGAATCATAATTTCCTGTCGATATGCACATCTACATAGTATGTCCTTATTATCTACAACGTTTCATGAAATTCTGTTGTGTGGTTTCAGAGGAGTTGCGATGACAAACTTTTGCAGAAGTATATTGAAGCAAATAAGTTCAAAGGAGCGCAACTCCTAGAAACAAAATTGAATCGTAATTTCCTGTCGATATGCACATCTACATAGTATGTCCTTATTATCTAAAAAGGTTTCATGAAATTTTGTTGTGTGGTTTGAGAGGAGTTGCGATGACAAGAAACAGGACTGACGGACTGACGGACAGACAGACAGACGGACGGACGGGTCAAAAATATTATACCCTCCGCAACTTCGTTGCGTGGTGTATAATAAGTATTGATATAGATACCTGTCACAAAGGATCTCATAACCTCCATAATAAGTATTGACAAGGATACCTGTCACTAAGGACATTAAAACCTCCATACTAAGTATTGACATGAATATCTTTCACAAAGGACATCGTGACCTCTATATTATTTAAAGTATTGACATAAATACCTGTCACAAAGGACCTCATAACCTCCACCATGAGTAAGGGGTTGATGATTACGAAATCTTTCAGCTGTGGAGTATCAAAGTAAACAATCTTCCCCAGTGAGTGGTGGAAATTTAGGAAATCTTTGAGTTGGTCTGGGGACAATACAGACACCTTGCTTATAGCATTTAATTCTTCAACATCCTCCAATGACAAGATTTGTTTTCCTTCCGCCACCAGCTCTGCAATCTCGAGTTCAAGGGGAACACAAGCGTTTGGCATCTTCTCCCCCCAACAAGGATGTTCAAACGTCAGTTCTGTGATGACTTTCTTGAGGACTTCAATTTCTGAATCTGTGTTATCCCTTGCATTGACAAATATCCGTTGTGTTAGGACTAGATGGTTTCGTCCCTCATGGTCCTTAAACAATTCCTCTACTCCATTGTACAACTCCTCACGCCTGGACTCCACATTCTCCTTAAAAGTGATAATTTAAGATATGACCTTATCCTTCTTTTTAAAATTACAATTTTTCTAAATGATGATAGTAAAAATACCAAGGATTCAACAAACAGTACATTGTTTCTGAGTACTTATTTACTTTTTTATACAATACAATGGTTTACTAGATTCAAGACAAAACTTGCATCGTACCCCTCTGTTCTATTTTTAACCAGGTTGGCCATCTTGCTTGGCAGGCGGATTATTTTGTAAACTAATTACCATAATGATGATTGTGGCCAAGTTTGGTTAAATTTGAACCAGTAGTATTGATATATTTGTATAGCTCATTCTGGTCTAATTAATAATTTTTGCTCATTAAAGTTTCTCTCAAACTGTAAATGTTTACTAGATAATAGGCAAAAATGAAAAAAAAAAATGTGGTAAAATTTATCATTAAAGGGCAATATTTCCAATAAGGAGTCCACTGTAATTTCTGGCCATGTTGACTGATTTGTAGATCTTTTCTTGCTGATCATTTATGCCTTTAAAATGAAAGTTTATTTCTATTTATTATACTTTTTAAGATATAGGCAAATACGCAAACAATTGGTAAAAAATCCTCATGAAAGGGCAATAGCCAAATAACGAGTCATCTGACCATTTGGCAATGAGTCATAATTTTAGATCTTTTTATACTGATAATGATAATGCTCATTAAAGTCTCTCTCTATCTGCTATTGTTTTCCAGATGATAGGCAAAAATGAAAAAAAAAAATTAAAATTTGTCATTTAACCCCTTCGCCCCAATCCCGCCTGTAGTCATGATGGCAACCACCATTCTTTGATGGCCCGTATGACCCGCCATACTTATTTGGAACTGCCCCCGCTGAACTGTTTTGACAGCAGGGACTTCAACCATGCAATTCATGATCCATAAACTCTTCTCAGATGTCTGTTTATGAAAATATGGCAACTTTAATGGCCTTTTAAGAGTTCAAAATCCGAAAAACATGAAAAGTAGCCAAAATCAGGTTGGGGTGGGCGTCTTTTGATGGCCACTACGTAATTGGTATGGGCTGTAGGCATAAGCTATTATCATAAATACATGAGTAAGTGGTACAGGAACACAAGGAGGTATAATATGGCCACAAGAAATCTGGTCTGTAAAATCTAGGTCACTGTTTTGTCAGAAATCCGTAAAAACGGACATTTAGGCAGACCTGGCTTGACAAAACAAATTCATCAGCAAGACACTAAAGTCACATTTACTTCCAGTCAGTATGGATGGACCATTGTAACTATAAGACAATACTTGAATGACCAGGAAACACAGTTTGGTCTATCTTCACTTCTCACCTTGTAAATTTGTTGTACAGTACACCGGCTATCACTCACCTTGTACATTTGTTGTACAGTACAACGGCTATCAATCACCTTGTACATTTGTTGTACAGTAAACCAGCTATTACTCACCTTGTTTATTTGTCGTACAGTACACCGGCTATCACTCACCATGTACATGTGTTGTATAGTACACCGCCTATCACTCACCTTGTAAATTTGTTGTACAGTACACCGGCTATCACTCACCTTGTACAATTGTTGTACAGTACAACAGCTATCAATCACCTTGTACATCTGTTGTACAGTATACCGGCTATCACTCACCTTGTTCATTTGTCGTACAGTACACCGGCTATCACTCACCTTGTTCATGTGTGGTATAGTACACCGGCTATCACTCACCTTGTACATTTGTTGTACAGTACAACGGCTATCAATCACCTTGTACATTTGTTGTATACTACACAGGCTATCACTCGCCTTATTCATTTGTCGTACAGTACACTGGCTATCACTCACCTTGTACATGTGTTGTATAGTTGACTTGATATCACTCACCTTGAACATTTGTTGTACAGTACACCGGCTATCAATCACCTTGTACATTTGTTGTATAATACAACTGATATCACTCAGCTTGTACATTTGCTGTATAGTACACAGGCTATTACTCACCTTGTACATTTGTTGTATAGTACACCTGATATAACTCACCTTGTACATTTGTTGTATAGTTCACAGGCTATCCCTCACCTTGTACATTTGTTGTATATTACACGGCTATCACTCACCTTGTACATTTGTTGTATAGTACACCTGCTATCACTCACCTTGTACATTTGTTGTATAGTACACCTGATATCACTCACCTTGTACATTTGTTGTATAGTACACTCGCTATCACTCACCTTCACTACAAACCAGTAAAAGTCTGAAATGGCCTATATCTGTACTCGACTGTACTGATTTTTACTCGACCAGTCTGAATTGGTCTGAAATTTACTTGATAATACTCGACTGTAGTCTGAACCATACTTAACTGTCTGAACTTGTACTCGACCAGTACTTAACCATTTTATACGCGTCTGAACCATGCTCGACCTAGTCTGAACCATGCTCGACCTAGTCTGAACCATACTCGACCTAGTCTGAACCATACTCGACCTAGTCTGAACCATACTTGACCAAGTCTTAACCAACCTAGACTATGTTTTGTATATATCTATTGTATTTAATCAATTTAGGAACTGTTTTAATCAACAGCTATTTCCCCTGGCTAGAAATTTGAACAACAATTTGAAATTAAAAATGTATTCAATATAGCATTGAAACCAAAATTTCACAATAAACATAATATAACTTCATCACCTTATTATCAACACTTATATACATACATATATATCACCTTTAAAATAAAAATAAAACAAGCTGATCAAATAATCTCAAAACTGAATTGTGACTAATATTTTCATGCAATGTTTTTCAAATTTTTTTGAATGTTTCAGATATATTTTATGGTTACTGGACAATTTTCACAATTAACTGAAGCCTCGTATAGATTCATGGTGTCAGTTGAATTTAGTTAATAATGCAGTGAACATTTTTTTTATTAAAATATATTTAGAATAGCATATAAAGCAACTTAATAACTTTAAAAAATGACACCTTTGTTTTGTTAAACCAAGAATTTAATATAATCATGATAATAGAACTTCCATAGTAATCCTGTGATAAACTTTTAATCAAAGCGCGAAAGCGCTGTAAAGGCAGTTAATTACAGGTTGTGTGTATTTTTAGTCCAGTTATATCATTTTCTTGCATAGTACAGTGTACTTATCAGAGGTGGCTTTCAGTATTTAAGATTTAGAGTTCTCTAATGATATTGAACAAGTTTTATGAATGTCATATTCTGAGCACTATATGAAGGCGATTGTTCTCACTTGTTTACGAACTAGTGCATTATGTCCAGTTTGTACCTTTTTTATCTATGTTTATAGTCAAATTAGTTATCAAAGGTACCATGATTATAATTTAATACGCCAGACGCGCGTTTCGTCTACATAAGACTCATCAGTGACGCTCAGATCAAAACAGTTATAAAGCCAAACAAGTACAAAGTTGAAGAGCATTGAGGACCCAAAATTCAAAAAAGTTGTGCCAAATACGGCTAAGGTAATCTATTCCTTGGATCAGAAAATCCTTAGTTTTTCGAAAAATTCAAAGTTTTGTAACAGGAAGTTTATAAAAATGACCATATAATTGATATTCAAATACTGTTTAAAATAGTTAGGCATTTTCTTTTTAGTAATAAGTAAATGCTATCAACTGTATTTTATTCAACTCTGCAAATGTGGTTTGTTACTGGTAAGTATGGATGATAGTTGTTTCATTGGCAATCATAACACATCTCCATAGTTATATAATGATATATATTCAACGACCTCAGGTACAAAAAAGTGTATGTAACTAAACTGTGATGGGAAACCTTTGACTTCTTTCTTTTATATAAACTTTTGATTTGGTACCATAGAACTATGTAGAATAAATGTACATTGCAACATGTCAACTCTTTCAATGACAATACTTTTTTAGAAACTATAACTCCAAGCAAAATTATATTTCCAAGTTTCAAGTAATTTATGAATGAAAAAAGGAGTTCTTAATTAAGAAATAAACTGATTCGCTGAGCTCAGCTGGATACACCCGCAGAGGTCCAACCTTGAACAGTTGGGGCAAAAATGGACACAATATTCAAGCTTGATACAGGTCTGAATTTGGATTGTAATTAAATATTTGACATATTATAGTTTCTGAATAAATGTAGTCAAAGAACTTGAAATAGATTATATGAATTGAATTTATATTCAATTAAAGATTTCTTGCTGTTGTGCAATAAACTGTGCTGTTGCTCAATACTTAATAAATCTGTTGCCAGACTATAAACAAATAAAGTTCAATTTCTTCTCAATGTCATATTTGAAATTTATGAAAATCTATAGGGAGATTACATCAATAGCTATAAATAATTCACCAAAGTTTCATGCGAACTGCTTAAAGCATTTTTGAGTTGTTGTCCAACAACAGTGCACACGCTGAAATGTCTCGCCTTCTTTACTAATCACTGATATTATGTTGATAGTCCTTAATATAAAGCTTTATTACAACTGTCACATAAACTTAACATTAACCAAGAAAACTAAACATTGACCAATGAACCATGAAAATGAGGTCAAGGTCAGATGAACCATGCCAGGCAGGCATGTACAGCTAACAATTCTTCCATACAACAAATATAGTTGACCTATTGCTTATAGTTTAAGAAAAACAGACCAAAACACAAAAACTTAACAGAGCAATGAACTGTGAAAATGAGGTCAAGGTCAAATAAAACCTGCATGACTGACATAAAGATCATAAAATATTTCCATACACCAAATATAGTTGACCTTTTGCATATAGTATTAGAAAAAAAGACCAAAACTCAAAATCTTAACTTTGACCACTGAACCATGAAAATGAGGTCAAGGTCAAATGACACCTGCCAGCTAGACATGTACATCTTACAATCATTCCATACACCAAATATAGTAGACCTATTGCATACAGTATAAGAAAAACAGACCAAAATACAAAAACTTAACTATAACCACTGAACCATGAAAATGAGGTCAAGGTCAGATGACACCTGC